AAACTGTTCCAAGAGAGGGTAGGAATCCCCTCGAGAGAGCAGAAAGCAAATGTGTGTTTCCCAAACGCTACCTGCAAGAGGAACAAGGACACGCTGCTCACAGCAGCGCTGCGCCCACAGCCCGTGGAACACCCCTATGCCAAGGATACAGCTAATCCTACGTATAAATTGTGGTTTCATAATTTCATGTTATGGACGTACCCCAGAACCTTCACTTGAAATACTTATAGTTTCTTTTTTTTCACTTAATTTTTCTTTCATTGTGGGGTAATTTCTGTATAAACTGGGAAAATGGGTAATGCAAAATGCATTAAGTAAATATATAGGAAAATATTTGTTCCTCTTTTTTTTTCTGATTGATAATTATTTAAAATGTAATTCTAGCAAATAGCATCAAAATTTGTCTAATCATCTTTTTCTCTGTCAATTTAATATTCTGTGAAAGTAGTTAAAATTAGATAAAGAAGCGGTTATTGAAAATATACTGTGACATTAAAATGCTAAAGAAGCATGAAGAGAACCCAAAGTTATCTGATTGATATCCATTTGAGGGGGAAAATCACAAAGGCATTTTTACAGTATTTGTCTCTGGGAACAGACATCTAGCATTTTCTGTGCAAGTACATTCTTGGAAGGTAGGTGCTCTGCACACTGTGTGGTTAAATAGGTGGTAGAATAATGGCACTCCTAGTTTACCTGTTATTTAACCAATGTACAATTGTTAAGTCCTTCTAGGGGTTGATGTTTGTTTATGTGGTTCTCCCCTCAGCTTCCAGTTTTGCAAAACCACATATCCTACCTTGTGTTTCCAAGGTTGGTGGCTCATGTCCCCCCTACCCCATCCTGGTGGGTGCCTGTTGCCCTGCACGTCTCTGCTCCCAGGGACCCAAGGACCCTCTGCCCGTCTGCTGCTCACCCGGGCTCCCCAGGGGCTTCACATCTTTCCTCCTCGTAACTCAGTGGGCACAAGTCAATTCTGGCTCCCCATCAGTCAATTTGGATATTTGTTTAAAAATAAAAAAAGCCCCCAAAGTCCGAGTTTGCTTCCAGTTTTGGAATTGCAAGATTGGTAGATGCATCACAAACAGAAGGTCATTACACAGCTGGCTTCTACTCTCCTCTTGGTGTAAGAGAAAGGAATCCGGTGATTTTACACCAGAATGTGTGAAGTGGGAGTGGGGTTTGGCTGTCTTAAAGCTGGCAGATTTTAATACAGAAGCTCTGGCTGTGTATTTTGGGTATTTGATTGAACAGTAAGAGGGAGAAGGGTAAGTTAATGTATGATATTTCTTCTAATACCACATTGAAAATTGTTAAAGAAATGCTACCTTGTTTTAAAAGAGCTTAATGGCACTTTGGAACTGAAATATTTTCCAGATAAACATAACTAGAATATTCAACTAGTGAAGAATTTTGCTACCTAACATACACATTGGTGTTAAAGAAGAATTATTAGGTGCATGACAATGTGATGCATGTAGTGCTTAACAGCAGAAAAGATCTTCTCTGTATCCAGGTAAATTATGTATCCTATTGAATCCATTATTTCCTAAAAGATGGATAAGATATTTTAGTGTATGTCCAGTGCCTGTTGATTTGCTTCTAATGAACTCTTTCTCTTATCAAAATCCTCACAATATATAAGAAGTATAAATATTAATATTGAATGCCTCTTTTGATGTTTATTAGTGTATGGTAATTATAATGTACATGTGTGTATTTAGGAAATGATAAAGGAGGAGAGGTGTATTGATCTAATATGTATCCGGATATATACATTTCTAATCTAATATATTTAGAAATTACTGAAATTATTCCTGTTCTGCTGACACTAATGAAGAAAATGCGCTGAACATGGTAGCAGTGTCTTGTAATTCATAAGAGTTGTTGAAACCTTGAAACCAGATGTTTGTGTTATGATCATGTCTCCGTTCCACTGAACTGTGCTGTGCTAGTTCTTTAAAGGGTGGTTCCTGAATGTTCTAGTAGGTAGTGACCCCATAGCCGGTGTTTTGTATTTTTAGTGTAGGCTAATCACATTATACAGAGTAAAATTGAATGGGGCTATGTATGAAGTTAAAGCAGAGTGAGATACCAGTTTACGTTACAGAGAACATGTGATAACTGTTACTGTTACTTGAGTTTCCCAGATTTTTGCTGCAATGGATATTTTGATAGAGTCCGCTGCGATTCTGCGTGCGTTAGGCTTGACGGTGTGAAGTGCAACTTTGCTGAGGACGCGGTGCGGTGAGGGGCGCTTTCCAAGCACACAGTGCGCTGGTTGCTCTACGTACCGGGGCGTGCGTTTGCCCTCGTTCTCAGTGCGCTGCCTATTTCTCTCATTCTCTTTTAGTCATTGTGCCGTGGGTGCTTGGTAGACACCTTCACAGCCCTCCCAAAATCCTGGGATAGACGGTATTCCTTCACTAGCTACTCTGATTTTGTGTTGTTTGTGTGCAGTCTGTCGGCTTTGTGGTACAGATCGTATATGATTCTGTTTTGTAAAGACTGCAGCACTTTTATAGTGCTGCATGTATTGTGAATTTTATTACTTTTCTGCTCTGTGCAGAGTTTTTTTCTACAGACCTCAAAGTGCATTTCTGCATTATGTTTAAGTTCTTTTTTTATTTAAGGAAAGATAAAGAAACATAAATGTAAAAATCAACTTGCTTATATTCTTACAGGAAATCAAGGATTGTGAACACAGCACACCTCATCTCCTGCTTTAATTTTTATCTGTTATAAAATTTTGGCTGACTGAATCTGAATTTCTAATGCTATACACACTGAATGTGTAGTACTTGAGGATTTATTTAGTTTTGGAAAGTAATGTCAAATTTTCAAGAAACCTGAAAACTTATCTGAAAGTTTTTCCTTAAATGCTTTTCCTAGAATAAGGACATGACCTACTGTATGCTTATTCATAAGTAAAGGTCATCCTGATCTCTCTCTCTCTTTTTTTTTTTTTTTCCCCTCTTCTTTTTAAGTAAATGAATAGTATCTTAAATTGATACAAGAATGCTTTTTTTGGAAGATGAGTAATCAATTAAGCCATTATGCCATTAACATTGTTAAACATTTCTTTTTTTCTCCTCCTCTTCACGTTCTGAACACAGAAGATACCTAGGCGGAGGAAGAAGGTATTACATAAAAAGCAAAAATAATAGTTCCTGCTGTGACTTCTTTTATTTGCTTGTTTCTTTTTAGAAGAGCTTAGTCTAAAAGATTATTATTAGTAGTAGGCTTTTTTTAATATTACACTTGGAACATATGGGATTTCAGAAAAAATATTTCTTGCATAGAGCCATTAGGTGCTTGTCTGCCCTGCCATCACTCAAATCGGGTTTCAGGTGCTGCTGTAAGCAACTGGGGATGGCTCCAGTGACATTTCCACTGCTTTATGTGGGTGCAGTTGAATGCAGATAATGTCAAAATAGCTTTTAGAACAAAACCAATTAAATTATATTTGAATAAGTGTTGCACCATAAGTTTAGATAATTTTAGATAATGAATTATTATTACTTAAATAAGAAAACTTACAGGTGGAATGTGGGTGGTTGCAAGTGGCTGATACTTATGGGGTAAGAAGCTGTAGTATAATTTTCTTTTGAAGTCCTTTGTTCTGGCTGATAAGCTAAGCTGTGAGCCAAAGTAATCTAAAGTACATTAAAATGCTGCATTTTTACCACAAAAATGTAGCTTGGACAATACAAATATTGAATTAATTATTTAGTATTTGAGATGGAAAGTAATCTCCTGTTTCATTTTAAAAAAACAACAAAAAATCCAACACACACAAAAAAATCCCTTATTTTTCCTAGGAACTTCAGAAGTGCTTTGAAGACTCCCGTTTTCTGTGTCTTCAGTCAAACAAGCTCCTGTAATCAAGGATCTGTTTTTCTTTTTGTTTATAGAAGCCTGTGCTTATGTAGAATTAATCTTTTAATTACGACTGTAGCTAGCAACATATTGAGCAGATTTTACAACCAGACAAGTAAAATCCTTCTCTGCAGTTGATGTTGAAGCTGCAACCGACAGTCCCCCAGCCAGTAACCGCTTCAGCGGCTGTAGCAGAATGATGGTGCGGAGGTGACTGTCCAGGAAACAACGAAACAGCTGACAGTTGCTTTGGTCGCCTTGTGGCCATGTAGTTACATGAGCAGAACTGAACAGCAGGGAAGGAAGGGTGAATTCAAAATATTGCAAAGATAAGATTTTTTTTTCCCTGTTATTTCATTATTCTACCTATTGTGGCACTCGACAGCTGTAACTATGTGCATAGAGGTAAAGAATGAAAAATCAGTACTGAAGGTGCCCGTGTCGTGCTGCAGCTCCAGCTGCCAAGCCCCTTCGGTGTTTAAATCCAAACATTTGCAAGGGATGGTTTGGGTAGTTTCTTTGTTCTTTAATATCAGGGCCAATAACTTTTTAATCTCTGGGGTTTTTGCCTTCATAGAGTATGTTTTCCTTCCTCTTCTCCCCATTCTCTGACCCAGAACTCCCAATGGAAAAGAATTGGCTCTATAATCATTCAGAAATGTTTGTTCTTTACAGGGAAACTGGATCTGAGGCTGTGTTGCCCTTGCTAAGGACGCTTTTTAAAATAGTGTTTTTGTTTTCTCCTTTACTTGCTCAAAGGTGCTGCTCAGTCTCTGGAACAACATGATTATTACAGCTTCCCCCATCAAAATTAATCAGTTCTGAACAGTTAATTGAAAGATGTAGCATAACTGGCTTTCCTTATGTATATATGATAATCACATGCTGGAGAAATCAAAAATCAGGCTCTCTAAATGTGAAGTGAAAATGTGTCCAAGTTGTAGCTGCACAGAATTTGGGATATTTCTGATCTAGCCAATTTATGATTTAATTTTAAAATGCTCTGTCAAGTGAAACATTGAATTTGTGCACCGGAAAACGTGATATTTCTTGAGTTATATTCTTGTCTAAAAATTATTTTACATATACAGAGAAACTGAGTCATAAAATATTTTTAAAAGTTTGCACTTCTTTAAGGCTATTTATTTTCTAAAAAAGGAGGACTTGAATATTTTTGACAAATATACACATGGTGTTACGCTAACAAACGGCCATGCAACATTTATCTTACATAATGAAGAAATCGAATATACAAGACCTACTCTGTTTAACATATATGTTGAAAATTTACAGTCTAGCCAATAGTGTTTTTTAAAAAAGTTTTTTTTTTTCCCCTTATTTGGCAGTATTTTTCTACAGTTTATTCAGATATTCCTCTTGGTGTGTTTTGGTGGATACTGAAGCCTAGTCAGTGACAACCTGAGGTACTAAACATTTCTGCCTTACTTCGTTGTCTTCAAAAGAAATCTTTTTGTTCCTCTTAGGCTCTATCCATGAGTTGTGTATTACAGCGTTATTCGGCAGGGGATCTGCTTCCACTATTGAAACAACTCGTTTTTTCATTTTGCTTTTCAGAACTTTCTGAAACTTTTGCCTAGTGAATGCATAAAGTAGAGGGTGAAATATAGTCGTGCCGTATGCCATGACTAGAAAACATAATCGCAGCTTTACCAAAAGGTCACTTGGGCCCAAACATAAAATTGTTGTGTTTAAAACAGAGATTGGGGTCCAGCAGAGCAGAAAGGTTGAAATGATCAGGAGGGACATTCGGAAGACTCTCTTTTGCCGCTCTCGGCGCTCCCGGTGCCGTTTCACAGCTCGGCGGAGGGCAATTATTACGGAGACGGAAGTCCTCACGCCAAAGACCACGTTCCTTCCCGCGCCGCTTTGCGACACGTCGGTGGTCTCGTGCTGAGTGGTTAAAGAAATAGTTTTTTTCTTCCTAGCTTTTTTCTTTTGCCCTGTTGTAAATCTCGTGCCAATTCGAATATTAAGAGCCTGGAGTATTTTGGTGTAGGTAATTAGCATCACTACAACAGTGAAGAAAAAGATAGGAATCTGAACGAGCAGGTGGTAGTACATTCCCAGCTCCGTGTGGTACTCGTTTGTACTGACGCACAAAAGTGTCTTATTTTCCCACGTGCTTGGGCTTTGAAGACTGAAAAAATTGACTTCAATGAAAGGAATCAGGAAGGAGAAGAGTGAAATGATCCAGATGGATGTCATTAGTATCACAGCCCTCCCCATGGTGAGGATGCGATTGGCAGGTTTGACGGAGATATCGTAGCGGTCCAGGGTGATGGCGAAGACGTTGATGGCGGTGGAAACGCTCGCGAAGGAGACACAAGCCTCGTGGAAGCAGCAGATCAGAGCCGTGTTGCTCTCCAGCGAAAGCAGGAGGATAACTATAGTTAGAGGAATACATCCCACACAAATTATTACATCAAGTACATGAAGGTTCATTGTAATTATGTTACTGACAGAATTGATTAAGTTGGATTTCATACAGTAAAGTACCAGCACGGTGAGGTTGCTGCCAAGTCCCAGAACGATTTCTAACATCAAAAATCCAGTGAGAGAAACTTGAAAGCTTAGCGGGTATGACAGCGGTCGGTACATGTTGGTGTCGATGTCGTCAATGGCATCTCGGACTGTAATGTTAGATTCGAACTGCATGTTGACTTCCAGAGTGGGGGAGAAACACATTCTTTTGTTGCGGTTGTTTTTTTCTCCTGAAAGGTGAAAGAAAATAAGGAACTATTTGATTTTTAGCACTCACTGTTATTTTAGGTAAGGGCTGGGGAAGAAGGAGGGAAGAAAAGCACCTATTCTTACCAAGCTCTTAACATACTGTATGTTTGGAGCCTTAATTGGCACGCATTCAGAAGTCTAAGGATCTAGAATCAGATCTTTCCATTTTAAAGGAAAGCAGGAGTTGTTTAAAAAAAGGAAGAGCAAAAAGCTTCCACTTCTGGAGGCAAGGCTTTATTTATTGTGATGTGGCTTTTACAAAGGGCTCATTTGTTGAATAAACTCCACTGTGCATTGCTTTTGAATTGAGTGTTGAGGGCCATTTTAGGAGAATGTTGTTAAGTATTAACAGATTAGGACTTGAGATCGTTTAAAAAGGCCCTTGTAAGAAAAGGGAGAAAGAGAGGAACGTGGAGCACTGCTGCTTTTGTACCATCAAAAGAACATTTAAATTATTTCATGGCAATTTAACAGTCTCTCTCTCTTGAAGAATTTATAATAGTCTTATGGATTGAGACTTAAATATCTTTAATTCTGCAGAATTTTATAGAGCTTGAAGACTTGTATTCATTTTTATACTAACTATATCTACATATAGGAACCATCCTATGAGGGAAGTTTATATAATTTTGAATGCAGACTTATGTAGGTTTAGCGTAATGGAGCTGATAATAAAACTTCTACCTTTCCTTCTTCCGATTTGAATACTCAATGTCAAGACATAGTTGCCTGTATGAGAAGAAAGATTGTTTAATTTTATTTCGGCATAGACTTGGGGAGTAATTTTAGAAAAAAAAATACTTTCAGCTGTTTTTGAATTCTGTATCCAATGTATTCAACAAATTTGTCTACATTTTTTTTATTATAAGTAAGATTCAAAAGAACAGCATTTATTACATCTAGGTGACTTCTATTTTGTGGCTGTATCTGTTTACATTTACCATGTGTAAAATGAAAGGTTGTAAATGTAGCACCTGCTTAAAATACCTGACGCTTGTATTTATATTGTCAGCCGGCACTTGAGCTTTTAAGAGAGATTATTCAGTTTCATGTTTTCATACTGCAGATATTTTTAAGTAGGCTTAAGTTTAAGAGGGGTTGTATTTGGCATGAAAACAAATTTAAATGCAGAGGTTTTTTTTTTCCACTCTGAAACATTAAAAATGCATAGCACTAAGGGGAACAAAAATCAACCTCCTCAAACTCCTCCCTCTTTTTCTTTTTTTTTTTTTAATAAAATCATAAATTAAGCACATTTGGGGTACAAATGTGCAAATGTATCTTCTCTGCAGTTCTGAAAACCTCAATTGAACAGTCCTATTAATCACAAATCTATGATGAAAATTCTTGGTATCTTCAACAGCTCTTTCACGTGCGCCTCATGTTCTAGTTCACGTCTTTTGTATTTATTAGTCTCAGGTGCGAAATGAAACAAGAAATATTTCCGAAGCTTTTGTTTAATTTCTAACTTAGGCAGCTTCTAATGGAATACGATTTCTTCTGTGTATGTTGCCTTAGCTGTCAGGGTATTTCAGAAACCATTCCAAATGCATTACTTGATGAATTGAGTTATTTTGAATGTGTAAAAGCCAGGATGCAATTAAAAGCAGAACAAACCATTATCTGCAAAAACACACCATTATCTTAGCTCCTAATGTTAAGCTAACTGAAATTTGTGAAAACAAAGTTCAGAAAAAACTCATAAACAGCTCAAACAGATTAAACATCACATCTCTGTTGCCTTAGGTAGATTTCAGGTAAATAAAAGCAGAGATATCGAGGTAGGCAGATGATTTACCCCATCCCCTGCCTTCCTGAGCAGCCGCTGCTCGTGTGAGCGTTGATAGGGGCCGGGTGCATGCAACTTCTGACCTACCTGTTTCGGTGCCTCAAGGGCCCTTCAGATCATTGTCGCAGCTTGTCATAAATTGGTACATGGTGACACTGCCACGTATTTGACATGCATTTTCACCTGGCAACCGAGGTGCAGCTGGGCTCTATTTCATTCCTTGCAGATTTTTTTTTCCTTTTTTTTTTTTTTTTTGTTCCAGCAGGTCAGCAGCAAAACATTTTGATTAAACACGAGGACCTCTTGACTGCCCGAGATACTTCTACAGACCAGCGCATATTCGTTGTGTCTGTTCTGAGTTTCAAGCCAGAAATAAAAATAAACCTCCTTTTAGGTGATGTGAATGTCTTTTCCCAGTGTCATTTTGTGTGAGCCTATTTTTATTTTCCAGGATTAAAAAAAGAGAAGATATCTGATCTCTGTGTTTAAAGTGAACGTAGACATCCTTTAGTTACATTTATGTATTTTTTTCTGTAATGCTCCTGCTCATTACTTTCGAGTGATGGCTTAGTCAAAGAAGTTGCTATACATCGTAAAATCCAGTTCATGTGCTTTGAGAAAAAACATGAGTTACCTAATTTGGCTTATTTTCATTAAAGGAGAATACATAACAGATCATAAAATTGAGAGTAGAATATCCATTAGTCATTATGACAAATAAGTTATTTAATGAGTAGTATAGAAAAAGCTTGATTAAACCCTTGTTCAGCTTGCTGGTGGAGTATGCACGTTCTGCTTTGGGGAATTCATGTTTCATTGTTTCTTCAAGCATCAGTAGTTTCCACAATTCTGCTTTTAAATTATAAATTCCTCTTTAAGAAATGCTCACCATTTTATGTATCAATCATTGCTGCCGCCTTTTCATGAATATCTGAGCAGGTGTGTTAGTCTTCTGTGAATATTGTTGAAGTGTCATGCACTTAAGTGGTAGTACAAATGTGTTCCATGTTTTGTTTCTAATTCCTTTTATGTCCTAAGAATACATTTTAGAGATGCATCCTGAGGCTGGCAGGTCATACAGCTAGAAAGGTACCCGGTCAACTGCATTCTTCATATTGTCAGTTGTAAATCGAATTAGTTGCTGCATGCCCTTGTGAAGGGGAGGGAAAAAAGAAGGTTAAAAGTAGGGCCCATAATTTTAAAAAAATATATAATCCACTTACTGCATGGATAAAAGATATCTAAAATTAGATCTTACTGATTACATAGAAAACCTGTTTCTGTAGTCACCATTTCCTAATAAAATCAACTAATTCTGCTGTCACCTTGCATGCTTTTTGGACAAGTTTCCTTTTGTCCAAATAGTGCAGGTTACAGAAAGCCCCAGCTGGAAGTAATAATCACTGGACATCTGTGACTAGAGATGGAAAATAGAGTTTTATCGCTCTTGAGCAGCTAGGTTTTACGTGCAACTGTCCTCTGGTCTCAAATGAGTAATTGAGCAGAGTCTCCTGCTTCATGGGAAGTGTGGTTTTATTTAATTTGCAGACTGTCAAGATATTCTTCCTTGGAATGAATGTGTTGCAAATCCATGTTTTTAATGAATATCTTAAATGTATAGGATAATGCAAGAAACAATTTTTTTTTTAAGGGGGGGGGGCGGGTCTTGGGCAAGTTGGAGATTAGTCATAGTATCCAACCTTGATAAAGCAGTAAGTATGTGATCCTTCAAGGAGTAAGTATAGATCTGTAAGAATACATCTGTGGTATATATCTGTAATATATTTATCTGTCAATATTTGGAAATAGTGCTGAGGGAAAGAATATTCCTGCTTGCATTCTGTATTTTGTTAAACAGTATACTAGCTTAAATTGTACTGTCTGTTGCGTGGGGAAGAAAAGCCCAGATTCTTAATATTCTGCAAGACTTTTGTACAAAATAACATTTTTCTCCTACTATGTTTTTAATTGGGAAAAAACAGCATTTGAATAACATTTTCTACTCCTGAATATAGCAAAATACTAGTGCTATATGTAAGCTGAACCTGCTGTCTTCCTATTTTTCCTCCAAATTTTTTTTGCTAAACGTTGCCTATTCTGCATACATGCATAAGGAACAGATCTTACCTCTGCTAAAGATCTGATAAATTCCCGAGGCAGGTGAAGCAGTTCCAGGTTGGAGGGCTTCATTTTGCTCACTTGTTAGCAGGGCAGAAGGGCAGGAGGGTGATAAGCGTATCTTCCCGAGATGACCTTAGTGAACACTGGTGCCTGTCCTGTGCCATTGTTTCAGTGCGCCGCTCATGCGGTGCCTGCCTGCGCCCTGCTTCAGAGGCTGCTGCAGTCTCCCGCTCGTGCTCCGGTAGAATCAATAAGCACCTGAAAACGCATAGCGCGAGTAACGGAGCGTGCGGAGGGCTCCTGTCGCCGGCGAGGCGCGCGGGGGAAGCGGCGCTGCCGGGAGGCTGCTGCGACGGCCGGGCAGCGCGTGCGGAGTGACAGCCCGCCCGGTCTCACTGCGGAGAGATGCAGTGCGTGATGCCACTAATTGTGATTGGTCACCGACGTGGGGCTTCGGCTGTGCCTCGTTCTGGGGAGGGACTCCCCCCACCATTTATATAAGGAGCCTTTTACAAAAGGACTAAATTTGCAGCTGATTTATGAATTCTAGAATATATTAGGGATATGCCAGTTTTATTTTTACCTTTTCACTCTTTGCATGCACTGACAACCACGTGACACTGTAAAGAAAAAAAAACAGATTATATGTTTATTAGTTAGAAAGCTTCCAGCGATTTATATTTGAATTTGCCTATTTTGTACTGGTCTTTGTTCTGAGAACATCTGTGATGTAAAACTGCCATGTCTTTTCTGTGAGCAATGCTGAATCTCACCCAGTGTGTTTATATGCAAGTCAACATTTGGCTCTTGTCTAAAAGAAATTATATTCAGGAGAAGCTGACACCCCCATGTATACTGGGATTCATGTGGATTATCCTTACCCCTAGTGTGGGATGTTAACCCAGTTCTAATCATGAACCACTGTACTATGTACAGTGCATGTATGGTAATGTGGTTTGATAAAGATAATTTAGTTGAAATGCTTATTCTTTAAAAAAAAAGTCTCTGTGTTTTACATTAGTATTTCTGGGGACCTCACAGGGTTTTGTAATTCAGTTGTTCAGGATATTCTTGACCTTCACTTTGGAGGGGTGGGGAGTTGTTCTTTATTTTTCACTTTTTTGTTTCATAATCTATTTCTGGATCTGTTCTATCAGTATAAACAGTGTTCACCACCAGCTAATGAGGAGAAGTGTAGCATGCTGTCATTATTAATTAGAACGAATGCTCTAATAAACTTTAGGAATTAGATATACAACTCCAAATACTAGTTTGCTGAAGCAAGGATTTTAAAAATATCTGAATATAAAATGTCCTGCTGGTAGTTATCCATCTCGTAAGTGTGGGGATTTCCTTTTTTAATTTTAAAATTTAAAATACATTTTTTAAAAAGTTTGACAAAATACTAAATTTTAAAGCATGGTTCATATATAGCACATGTATTGAAATGGCAACTTGGGTCAAATTTTGGTGGGAATCCTTTATTTTTAAATTGTGAATACAATTATAAAATGCACCTCTTTGCTCTTTTGTTTTTATATGTACTTTTTTCTCAGATAATGGCTGTGTTTTTTATTTCAGGTAACAATATGCTTTCTTTTTTAATGGTTATAAATTCATCTAGCTTTCCTTGCGTTCTCTACTCTTTTGCCTTCAGAAAATACCTAAATAAAGATTGCAGAAGCTTGTTCAAACATTGCAGTGTAGCCATTTGGTACCTAGTGAGTCGGAAGGGCAGCTGGGCTAAATCTTTGAACCTTCTCTGGTTCCTCTGCCTCTCAAGAGTTTGACACCAGTTACACTGACATATCTCTTAAGGGTAACGTGAAAAAGGTTTCCTCGAGTGAAGGCATATGTGCTAATGCATTTAAGAGATTTACTTGCCTCACTTTCAGTATGACTAAGGATAGGTAGGGAAGCCTCTCTAAATTTAAACAGATGAATCTCCATCTCCCTTTCCAATTCTCTGTGTATGCCTGAGCAAAGATGGAATGCTGGAGGGACTCTAATGTTAGAAGAAGATGGACATATGGAGAAAGGTGCACGTGATGTCAAATGAGGGGGAAAAAGTAAAAATTATCTATATTCCAGGAGGCCATCATGGCAAAAGACTTGCTCTGCAAAGAGTGTTTCGGCAGAATGATCCAAGTACAGTTTTGTTCATATCAAGCTTAAGCTTTCTGGAGGGGCACCCGGGAGGAGAAGCAGCACCAGATGGAGGCAATAGGAGTAGGTGGATGGATAGACACGCTCACAAGCCATTGCGGGGCAGATGCTGGCTGAGATGGTGAGAACACATGACATCATCCTCAAAGGGTAGATGAGGAAGAAAGGTTGGTGATGCGGCGTTGGACTGAGAGGGGCAACATGAGGTGGAGAGGGAGGACCCAGAAGGTGACAGAGGCCTGGGAAGGGCTTCTCTTGCTGTATGTGGGGTAGGGAGGGAAGAAGTATAGAGCAAGAGTGTGAAGCAAGGGGGAACAGCAGGGAGCGGAGCACTGGGCACACAACAGCAGGCTGCCTGCCCTGGCGTAGAGGCATTTGCAACTGCCGTAGTGCTCTGCTTAAAATTGAGTTCAGGAATCACTGCAGTCAACCTGCATGTGTATATTTTATTCTTCTGCTTTGCCGAAAGCAAAAAGTTGCCAAGTAACATATTTTTTGTCTTCTTCCATATTTTCTGCTGTCTAACTTTCTACATGCTGGAAGCAATGCCCTAAAATCTGCTGTTGGTGTGTTGAGAAGTGTTGATTTGTCATTTGTGGATGTGGAGATGTAAGCTCTGCTGGTAGTTGGTAAGATCACCCCTATTCTGGCTTGTTGGGGTGCAGAGGTTTGGCTTGTCTTTTTAAGAGACCCCTTAGGCTCACAAAGTCAAACAGTCATAACAGTCGTAGTAGGGCTGAAGTAAGTGATTATTTCTAATGTTTTCCATTAGTGTTCTTAATTATTGCATCTTTAATATTCTTTTAGCATAGCATGGGTTGAACTTTACATAAACCTGTCATGAGCTGTCTAACTTTCAGATGACACAGAATAGACACTTTCTTGAAAGCATTTACTTTGGGAAGCTGTATCCACTTCCTTTCTTCTCTTTATTTTTTTTTCCCTCCAGTTTTTATGACTACCTCTCTTAAGTTTTTCAGCAGCATTCTCTGTTGCTTTTTCTGGACTGTGTATATTGGTTCCTATTTTAAATATTGCAGCTCATTTGGTGGCTGTGTAGAGTTGTAGTGACTGCAGATCTACATCTCCTCTGTTCTTGTTTATGCTGGAGATTTTTTTCAGTGAAGATTAATTCCTTCAGCACTTAAGTCGCTTTTG